CCAAAGCACAAAATTGATCGAGTTTGAAAGCTGTTTTGGAAGGTTGTATATGCGTGCAACAAAGTGGAGCGGAAGAAGGAAACTTCTGAAATGCAGTCCATTGAAGGTACTGGTGATGCTACTACCCCATATACGGATTTCATGGTTGCTGAACCAACTAGATTCTGCCGTGCATTCTTGTCAACCGTTCCGAAATGTGACTCTGTTAAGAGCAATATATGCGAGACGTGGAATGGAAGCATTGTCAAGTATAGGGGGTTTCGAATCGTAGATATGTTGGAGGGAATTAGGGGATATATGATGGACAGAGTCTTGATCAAGTACAGGATGTTGGACGAGAACGCGGATGTATTGGGCTAGAATCAGGAAACATGTGGAAAAGGAGAAGGAATTTTCCAGGTTATGTGTTGCTAGACAGACCATGTTTGCTAAGAAAGAACTTGCAGTAGCTATCATAATGCATGAATATCCCCTTTCCATGGTTGATCATCTATAATTCAAAAGGTTTGTGTGCTCTCTTCAACCCATGTTTAGTGTTCCTACTAGGAACACTACGAAAAAGAGTTATTTTGAGTTTATGAGAGTGAGAGAAAAAATTCAGAAGGTTATTGATGAGAACAAAGGAAGGATTGCCATTACAACAGACATGTGGACTGCAAGTAACCAAAAGAAAGGTTACATGGCTGTAATAGCGCACTATATTGATAATTCCTGGAGTTTGAGGAGTCATATGCTCAGGTAAAATAGTTCATTGTAAGTTAATGCTTAGATACTTAGCTTTTGGCAAGTAATAGAATTATGATCTTGTGTTCTTTTGTTTGTTTGTTTGTTTATTTTTTGGACAGGTTCATCTATGTTCCTGCTCCTCATTCTAGTGATAGACTTGCATCTGTCTTGGTCAATTGCATGCTCGATTGGAATATCGACTCAAAGGTATCCACTATCACATTGGCTAATTGTAGTACTAATGATGCAATGATTGCCAAAATTAAGAAAAAACTGGTTCTATCATATCTGTTGATGGATGGTGCACTTCTGCATATGCAATGTTCAGCTCATATATTGAATATGATAGTCAAGGATGGATTAGATGTGGTGAAGGATGGTATTGAAAGGATCATAGATAGTGTGTCTTATTGGTTGGCTACACCCAAAAGACTTGAGTTTTTCCAAGAGACTAGTAAACAATTGTGTGTTCCATGTGAGAAAAGATTGGTTTTAGACTGCCCTACAAGATGGAATTCCACATTTCTAATGCTGGCCATTGCTATTCCTTACAAAGACGTGTTTAATAGGCTTAAACAACGTGACCCTCAGTATGATTGCTTGCCTTCCAATGATAATTGGTTGTTTGCTTCGATTGTTTGCGAGAAGCTCCATTGTTTTACCCTAGTTTCTGATCTATTTTCGGGGTCAACATATCCAACATCAAACTTGATTTTTCCTCGTATTTGTGATTTGAGGATTAAAATATGTGAATGGATGTTTGATCCTAATGACAAGATTCAACGTATGGCTGAATTGATGTGGGCAAAGTTCAACAAATATTGGGAGGTGATCCAACAGATTTTGGCAGTTGTAGTTGTGTTAGACCCCCGGTATAAACTTGACATTGTCGAGTACTATGCTGAAAAATTGGTTCTAGATGGTAGTTCATCATTGAGTGCTTCAAATATAAAAGGCATATTGGGAGATTTGGTGGTTGAATACCGATCAAGGGTAAATGGTAAAATTTCTGCTGCCAATAGGAATGATCTGCCTGCAATGTCTAGTACTACAGATCTGGATTTAGACTTGTTTGTTAGTCAAAGGAAGAAGTCGAGGACTTCATCTGTTATAGCTGAGTTGGATGCCTATTTGAATGAGGAAATTCTGCCTCGTATATCTGATTTTGATATACTTATGTGGTGGAAGATCAATGGTCCTAAATACCCCATCTTGCAAGAGATTGCAAGAGACATTCTTGCTGTTCCTATCACTTCTGTTGCATCATAATCTACCTTTAGCTCTGGAGGCAGATTATTAGATCCACATAGGAGCAGGCTCCATCAATCTACTGTTGAAGCTCTAATGTGCACGAAGACTTGGCTGCAAGATAATGGTAATTTCTATCTTCATTTTAATTGTAGTACGTTCAAGGTTCTTTATCTTAACTTACTGCAAATTATTTAATTTTTTGTTACATGCTGTTTTTTTCCAAGTAGAGGGGAGCAGTGATGATGCTGTAGGGAATTTAGAGGGTTGCTTCTCCTCATTAAGTGAAACGTGCATGGTTTAAGCAGAGGCACTAACTGAATGTGCAATTCTGGAAGGTTTCTACAATTACACTTCCTTCATTTTCTTTTATTAGCTTTAGTAGTGATCAGAGTTTAGTGTTACTAAGAATTGTATCACTTGTGCATTTATAATGAAGACAATGCTTCAAGGAACAAGACATACAACTTAGCTGATGTGGTCTAACTTCTAGACGCATGATGTTGCTGTGTTAGTGGTGAGTTGTTGCGAAAAATGGCTTTCTGTTGCTGTTGAATTTATAATACTTCATTGCTGCTTTGAATTCATTTTCTTAAATAATTGTGAGAAGAATGCATTTTGTTGAGAAGAATGGTTCTTTGCAGGTCCGGTTTTGTCTGTGTGCTGCCGTGGTGTGTGGATTTCATTCTTCTGCTGCTGTCGGATTCAATATGTTGCTGGGTGCTTTTTTTAACTTCCAAGTTGAGAGGAAGGTTGCAGAGTGTGGCTCTATGTCGTTTTTTGCTGCTGAAGGTGTTGGCTTGGTGTTGCTGCTGAAGATTGGAGCTAGCATGCTGTTGCTGGTGAAGAATGTTGTTGCTGTCGTTTCTTTATGCATTTGAGTTGTTGCAGTTTAGTAGCTTAGTTGGACCTAGGGATTGGATATTAGTTTGGATTGGAATTTGATTGTTATGTTTTTGAGTTGTTGCTCATTAGCAGCTTAGTCTGCAGACAGGGGTTGGTGTTATTTAATTAGTTTGGATTTGATTATCATTGTCCTTGTTGAATGTCAAGTTGCTGCAACTTCTCTGACTCTCAGGAAGGATACTTGGTTTTATATATGATTAAAAGCAAGCTCATTAAGAAATCTACAAGCAGTACCAGTAGGATATAAAACTTAAAAAGAAAACTAAATTGAATTTGGTCTTGAAGAACACTACTGGGCCTAGGTTAAGCATTAAAGAAACGGGTATTTTGTGGGTTGCGGGTAAACCCGTTACCCGGGGACGGGCGGGTGGTGGCAGGGTTTTCCTCCCCGACTGCTGCTGGTTGGCGGATTATAATCCGACCAGGACAACTGACGGGCGGGGCTTGGATACGAGGTAACCGCCCCCGATCCTCCCCGTTGCCAACCATAAACGTAAGAGCATATGGAGAGTCAAGAAAAAGGAAAGTTAAGTCAAGACAGCTTGCTAATGGTGAAGAGGTGGAGAAGTTAGATGATTTCGAGGAAGTGTCTTCTGAAAGTGAAGAGGATGGAGGCGATGAGGCAGCCAATGAAGGGAATGTGAATGAGGAGGAAGAAGGGATTGAAGCAGGGAGTGCTGCAACAAATCGTTCCCTTTCCAAACAGCATCCATCTCGGCCTGAGAAAGGTGGCGAAAAGGGTTCGAATCATTCAAGTTATAGGCTGTCCGAGAATTCTGATCATGTGCGTCCCAACTTGTCTGAGGAGAACGGTGGTGAACCTTATGATGATGCTCCACATTATGACCCTAAGTGTGACCACAAATTCCTACAATTCGTTGTGATAAAGAAGTTTGAAAGTCCTGAGCATTTCAAGGATGCCGTAATCGAGCATTATATTGCAGCCGATGTAAGTATTAGGTGGTTGAGGAGTAATCCGACAAGGAGGGAGGTCAAGTATAAGGCACCCAACTGCAAGTGGGGGCTGTATGCAAGCTGGTTTAGGAAGGATCGAAGTTTCATGGTAAGGAAAGTTGGGGAACCACACTCGTGTTCAAGACAGTTTCGAGTTAACCAATTAATTGCGAAGTGGATAGCAAAAGATATGCTAGAGAGATTCAGGACTAATCCTGAATGGGCACCAGACCAGATTGTCACTGAGGTCAAGTTAAAACACAACATGGAGGTTAAGAGGAGAACCTATTACAGGGCAAAGGTGGAGGCTATAGGGCTCTTGAGTGGTTCTTTGGTCGAAGAGTATAAGAAGTTGAGGAGCTAAGTCGCTATGTTAAAGAAATGTGATGAAATGGGTTGTTTCCATTTAGAAGTCGATCCTCATCCAAGTGGTGACAAGTGTTATTTTCAGCAATTCTATGTCGGTTTTCTGGATTGCGGAAGGGTTTTCTGGAGGGATGTTGACCAATGTTTGGTTTGGATGTTTGTTTTCTGAAGGGGGAGGTTAAGGGCATGATCCTCACAGCTGTGGGTAAAGATGGGAATAATCAGATGTTTTCGATTGCTTGGGCCGTGGTTGAGAGGGAGAACCGCGATTCTTGGTCATAGTTTGTGCGAACTCTAGCTCAAGATCTTTATATTTTGGATGGCAGATGGTGGACAGTTATATCAGACCAACAGAAGGTATGAAATTGTGGTTCCTTACCTTCAATTAAGTGGTTCTTTCTGTCATACCATGTGTGGTGAAAACTGTTAAATTTGTTCTATTACAGGGTTTAGTTGAGACCATTCATGAGATCTTGCCTGAAGCTGAACATAAAAAATGTGCTCACCATGTATTTTCCAACTGGATGGCAAAGCACAAAACTGATCGAGTTTGAAAGCTGTTTTGGAAGGCTGTATATGCGTGCAACGAAGTGGAGCGGAAGAAGGCAACTTCTAAAATGCAGTCCATTGAAGGTACGGGTGATGCTACTACCCCATATACGGATTTCATGGTTGCTGAACCAACTAGATTCTGCCGTGCATTCTTGTCAACCGTTTCGAAATGTGATTCTGTTAAGAGCAATATATGCGAGACGTGGAATGGAAGCATTGTCAAGTATAGGGGGTTTCGGATCGTAGATATGTTGGAGGGCGTTAGGGGATATATGATGGACAGAGTCTTGATCAAGTACAGGATGTTGGGTGAGAACGCGGATGTATTGGGCGAGAATCAGGAAACATGTGGAGAAGGAGAAGGAATTTTCCAGGTTATGTGTTGCTAGACAGACCATGTTTGCTAAGTGTGAAGTCAAAATGGGAGCTGATGGGTACATTGTAGACTTCTGGGATGCACTTGCACTTGTGGTTATTGGGAGCTAAGTGGTTTACCTTGATGCCATGCCATTTCTGCCATCACACATTGTAGGCTAGAAGTGGAGGATTATGTCCACTCCTTTTACCACGGCAGTACGGTAGCCAGAGCATATAAGCATGGGATTCCTTGTTTGGACGGCAGACAAGCGTGGCCTGAACCTCCAGGCTATCCTGTTCACCCTCCTAAGAGCAGATCCATGCCCGACAGACCAAAGAAGAACAAGAGGAAGGCATCAATTGAGTTTCAAACAAGAGCCAGAGGATATGGACAAGAATTGACTAAGAAAGGTACCATAATCCATTGCGGTAAATGTGGTGGGGAGGGCCACAATGCAAGGTCATGCAAAGAACTCGTTGCTGCCCAACCAGTGGTAAGAGAGCTCGTTGCTGCACGACAAGTGGTGAGAGAGCCCATTGCTGCACAACCAGTGGTGAGATTGAGATTGCATTGTATATTTCTTAACTTAAATGTTTGCTTCCAGTCATTTACTCAAATGTTTGTTGCAGATTAATACAACAGCCAGAGGAAAACGAGTTGCACCACAAGATGCTGGCAACGCTCAAGGGCAAAAATAGAGGATCTCATTGTTCAAAATGTGGCTCGCCTACCCACAATGCGAGGACTTGTCCTCTGAATAGAGCAAAAGGGATATAGGTAATTGAACTTAATCCTATGGATGTCGAGTTTTGCCCAATATATTGAACCAACTAGATTAATGCCTGTAGGATGTGAGACTGAATGTTGCTGATAGAAGGACAATAGAAAGAGAGTTGCGTGTTGCAACGACTGGGGTGGGTGTTTACGTGGATGAGAGAACTGGCAACCAGTATGTACGGGTTAGTATAAGATCTTAATACCTCTACTTGTAACCACTTCTACCACTTCTAGTATTCTTTTTCCAGGTTCGACAATTTAATTGCCTTCGACTTGTCTATTTCAGCTTAATGGAGCACGTGGTAGAGCTGTTGGAGAGGGTCCATCTCAACAACCTAGAGTTGTCCAAGCAAATGTGGTGGAGCTGAGAGGAAGTCAGCCCCCACCATCTCAGCCTTAGACGACAATGTTGTTACATGAGCCATATTTTTTGTGTAATGGTATTTGGGGTGTATTTTGGATGGCTCGTGTAATGGTGTGAGAGAGTGGATTGTAACCCCCTCTCCTTCTCGGTTATTTAGGTGTAATCAGGACCACCTCTACAATCGGTTATTTAGGTGTAATCAGGAACATCCTCAAGACATGTACTCACTTGGTAGTATGCTTCTGACAAATGAAGTTTGCCTTTTTTTTTTTCTTTAGGTGTAATCAAGAACATGCTCGTTAGGTTCAATGTTAGGTACAAAGAGCTTTGGATACTGTCAAAATTAGGTGTAATCAGGAACATGTACCACTTGATCAATGTTGGTTTCAAGGAATGCAAAATGATGATAACATTGATCTTGCATTCAAATTCTTCCATTCCTTTGCTTACAACTGCGAGTTTTACACATTACAACCTGAAAGGTCTTACTACTATTACTCCATACTACAGATGACTACAAGCACCATTACATTCACGATGAATAAAATGGTCAGCATATATCGATTTAGCTTAACATCATATTTGATATTCCTAGTCTTAGCTAACATAACATCATGAACCGCCATTACATTCATCAGTTCTTCAGCCACCAGTTGTTTTTCCTTCTTCCTCCTCTCGGCCTTGCTCTATGCTCGCTTTATACTTTCTTCCAGCTTAAGAATTGTAACCTCCACTTCAGTGTCCTGCCCCTCAAATTCATCACCATTAGTTTCCACCCTCCTAAAATAATCGCAGTTCTTCTTCGGATCCTGCATCATCAAACCATCCGTAATCATCATACATATGTTTCAAACCAAATGAGTCATCCAAATATGCTTCTGTTACCTTCCAATAAGGACAGCCGTAGAATTTTCGACCTGAATTCAGATCAGTTCCGGAGGTTTGAACGACACAAGGATTTTTATGCAAGCACCGTACGAGCCCTGAATTGTTTACGCTTGTTGAACCCGAATCACCCACCTTGACCGATTTGCCACTCCCAATCCTTTGTGACATGATTGCAATTGTTGTCAAAAGGGAGGGGCGTCGACGAGGAGAGAAACGTCTAGGGAGAGAAGTCGGGGGAGGGAGGCGTCGTTTGGGAAGAAAGGTCGAGGGGAGCGTTGTCGGGGGAGAAAGGTCGAGGGAGAGGGGCGTCGTCGGGGGAGAGAAATTGTGGAAAGAGCTGGACCGAAGAGAAAACAAGGCTCGGCAGCGGAGCGTCTGGGTCGGAAACCTAGCGAAGAAGAGGGGAAATTAGAACTTGTGAAAAGGGATTTGCAGCAGGGGAGGTTGGGGATTATTATAGGATAAGGCTTTTTTATTTTAGATAATGACGTGTTAATTAGGTGGAAATAGTTCGTCTATGTGGCAAATAGGTGTCGGACATGTGGCGACCATGTAAGCATACCGTCCACTAAACTGACGGAGAGGTTAAAGGCGTTAAATAATTTAACGGAAATGGCTAGATTGTGCAAGTAAGTTTAAAAAAAGTGGCTATTTCTCTGTATTTTTTAAAATTTGGCTATTGTTGGCACAAAGTGGAAAGTTGTGGCTATGCGAGTGAATTTTGCCTTTTTATTACCCATAAACCTCAACCCCACGTCGGCGCTTATTAAATTTGGGGACCACCTGCAATCAATTCGACGCCAATGAGACTTCGCTCCCAACAGCCTTATACCTCTGGGAACACCAAATTGGCTTCACTTGGATTCGAACTTGGAATCTGCAACTCCCAAACCTTCACTGTCGCGACAGCTTTACCGTTATACTATTATCTTTGGTAATAAGAATTAAGATTTAAAAACAATACAATTGAGAGAATTAGGATTTTGATCATGAAAATCTCTGATTATGTTAACTTCTTGATAATCCGCATAGGAAAAATATAAAAGAGTGTTTATGCTCCGCAACCCAATAATCTCTAAGGCTAATTATAACGGCTGTAAAAAAAATACAATTTTTATTACAATTAATTGTAGATGTAAATTTTGTCGTCCTATTTACATCCAGTTACCAAATTAATCCACTCATGTTTTAAAAAGAAACTTTGACATTTGTCTGAAGAAATTTTTTGAATGAACTATCATACTATATTGAACTCGTTGGTTTTTTTCTCTGCAGCGCTTGATTAAACTCTTAACATTTTGTGGCGTATATTGTCGCCAAGTATATAACGAGTGACTGTGAATAACTATCTGTTTTTTTTTTCCTTCTCATAGAAGCTGTTTCTTTCAATATGAATTGAACTGAATAACCACCTGTTCTTTTTGTTCCTCCCCCTGGACCGATTATATGAACTTGAGTTCACTTTACTTTATTGGTTGCTTTTCATACCGGAGGTGGAAGGAGACACAATATGAAGATAGATAAGGACAAAACAGTTTCATTTGATGGAGATAGAGCGAGAGAGACAAAAATTTGAACCAGAGAAAGAAGAAGAAAAATATTCAGTTCAGTAAACACTGACTGAGATAATAGAGGAGAGGAGAGGAGAGGACCACCATATACTTTTCTGCCCAGATGGAGATTCTCAATTTTATATATCTGGAAAAATGGGTGAAGACTGAAGACTCAAGTCCTCTCTCTCTGGATCTGAATCGTGCACATCGTGGGGGTTAATAAAGGCAGCTAGCTAGAGCTAGTAGCTAGGGCCAGCTCTGGCCGGCCCTCCCTCTTTGTTGTTCCAAGTTGCTCTTTTTCCTTTGATTTTCCCTTCAGCCATCTCAATTAATTTGATCATGTGTAGAATTTAATACGCCTGGAATCCGGGATCTTCACTTGTTCTTTTTGATTCCCGGCAGCATTCTATATTAGGGGACGATCGAGGAGATTTAGCTGCGGTCTTGTGTATACACCTTAATTGGTCATGTACCTCATAGCCAGACAATGATGATAAGAGTTAGTTTTCTTTGCATAGGATGAGATTTTCGATTGCCATCATGATGTGAACTATCTAATGGGTCCAATGTCGGGTTCCACCTATGAAAGTCAGGTTAGGGCTAGAATTAAACTCTTGCTATTTGGCTCAAGTATCCGGTAATTAACATCATGGGTTATTCTTTTGAATTGTTGTTGTGATTCAGTAATTCAAACTTTGTATCGTTAGGACGGTGAGATGACAAACTCCACGTTGTTTGGTTTGTCCAAACATATTGCTATGACACAATGATTTACCGTTGGCGAACTCATAAATATAGGTGTCAATCGGGCGGGTTCGGGCTGGGTTCAATCGGGTTCGGGTTCAAACGGGTTGCGGGTTAGTTGGGTTGCGGGTTCATCGGGTTCGGGTTCAAACGGGTTGCGGGTTAGTCGGGTTGCGGGTTCATCGGGTTCGGATTCAATCGGGTTGCGGGCAAATCAGGTTGCGGGTTCATCGGGTTTTGGGTCAGGCGGGTCGGGTTGTTCGGGCCAGTGCATCAAGTAACTTAACTCATTACTCATTACCAACTTACACATTTTATTACACTAATTTAAAATATTTTCTCAACCTTTTAACCAATTTATTTCTACCTCGTATATATATACTTTATTTTTTTGAAAAAAAAAAACTAGTCAAAATGTTAAATCAATTTGTATGACTTGCAAACTTGTTATATAATTAATCATAATTGGTAAAGTATTATAGCTAATAGTAATGCTGATATCAATATTTGCAACCAAAAGACACCGTTATTTGTTTATTTGATATTTTGTATTAATTCAGTAGTAATTGGATTAAAGTATCTCGTTTAGTATAACCATGCAAATCTGGTATTTGGCGTGTGGTATTTGGCAAAAGCATAGTGATAAAAGGAGTTAAGGAGTTATTTCAAAATAACTCATTGCCCAAATAACTTTAGTAAACTGTTGCCAAACGAGTTATTTGTAAAATTGTTAGAATTATCCTAAAAATTGAACCATTAAAGATTAGCTATCAAATTTAGTAAAATTATTGTGACTTCAATCATAACTTACTCAATAGCATATATCCTATACATTACTTTTAAAAAATTCAAAGAACCAAATTTCCCTCTTCTTTCTCTTCCCAAAAACTTGAATACACCAAAATTTCCCTCTTCTTTTAAAAACATCAAATTACCAAATACATTACTTTACTTTATTTATATTTAATTGATAATTTTATTGAATAGTTAAATTAACCAAAATTTAATTTATATATTATATTAATATTGTCATGATCTCAAGTGACCTTCATGTTTCAATTTTTGTAATTTTCTTAAAATACGTAATATCAAATGAGTTTCATATTTTTAAAATTTCTTATACGAAATGAAAAAATAATTTTACTTAAGTTTAGAATAAAAAACTTTATTTTGAAAAACTATGTATTGTATAATTTTATAATTATTCAAGTGGATTAGATGAAATTCGGGTTGAGTCGGTCGCGTTACGGGTTAGTCGGGTTCGGGTCAATCGGGTTGCGGGTCAGTCGGGTTGCGGGTCAATTGGGTTCGGGTTAATCGGGTTGCGGGTTAGTCGGGTTGCGGGTTAGTTGGGTTGCGGATCAATCGGGTTGCGGGTCGGGCGGGTTACGGGTTGTTGACTTTTAGTCAATTCGGGTTGCGGTCGGGTTGCGGGTCGGGTTGATTGGGCGGGTTAATAAGGTTGGGCTATGTTTTGACACCTATACTCATAAACTGAAGAAACTTTAAAATGTAGTCGTCAGAAGGTTAAAAAATGACCTACAGTGGCGGATCCAGGGGAGGCCACCCCGGGCCACGACCTAGCCCTCCTCTGGATCCGAAGCTAGTATAGCCCTTATTAGTTTATTGGTTGTAGTCATTCGGCACAGTGTATAATAAGATTGTGTGTAATTAGTAAAATGGGTCAGATGAACATATTCAAAACACAACTCTAAATTTAACCTGAAAATTCTAACTCCAATGATTCTCGCCTAAAGAAAAACAATCAATGAAACCTAAAATTCTAAAAGTAAAAAACGTAAAAGATTAAAAGGAATATGAGGTTTGTTCACTTGAAAAATTACTAGAGTAGCTGGAGAAAATAGGGATTGACACAAAAAATATATATATTGATTAGTCGATTGATTTGTCTAGTGTTGACATTGCTCGTTTCAACAACTACGGAGAGACCCTTTTCACAAATGAAATAGGTGAAAAATTATCTACGTAATAAAATGAGCGATGAATTTCTCGCCAATTGGTTAACTATTTATCTTAAAGAGAGTATGCTATTGGTATGGATGTAGACTCCATTATTGATGAATTCACTATATTAAAATTTAAAAAAATCGACGTGTACAATTGATATAGTAAAAAAATTTATGATTTTCATACGGTATCTAATTTTCTAATGAAATGCGGGCCCAGTGTTCTACTGTGTCCTGGATCCGCCGCTGACCTACTAGATGTCAAATGTCATTAATGAGAAGTTCTTATACGCCGAGCCGAGTTCACTCTCGTGGTGAAGATGTATTAGGGTTTGCAAGCAAATCATGGAATCTGAGTGGTTAAGGTGTATGTGGAAATTGAAGAACTGGTTGTATTATCTGATACCCAAACATTGGTAGACAGCCTTGGGATTGATATATAGTATGGTAGAGGTACGTATTGGTCTTCTTAGAGATATAACACTAGCTAGTTCACTTGACAATCAAATCGCAAGCCCCTAACCAATATAATGTTGGAGATTATATATGTTAGAAGTTACAAGTTTATGTAGCAATATGTAATTATTATGTCTTTTACTTAATTAGGTTTAGAGCCTTAGACATATTAGGGCGGCTAAGTATATATATGTTGGCAGCCGCCTCTGATGTACTATACAACTCTATTATGCAAGATTATACGATTGACTCCGAGAGGGTTGGTCCTCTTCGTGGATTAGTCTCAAGTCTCAACAATACTCGTTGAGAATATCACGTTAATTCGGTGTTGTTCTTTCCGATGGAGTTTGGTTTGCCAAGTATTATACGCAAAAAAAAATTATCTCGAAATTTAAAAAATTTAGCGAAAACTTGTTTTAGAAAATGGCGACGAGATATAGAAAGATTA